GGGACCGTCGGCGGATGTTAAAGTCTCGCGGCAGGGGTAAAATTAATGCCGGTGATTTAATTTCGCGCGAAAGATTTTGCGGCGAGTTCGTTAACCGCGCGTTGTTTCTCGAAGAGTTCTCGTCGCCGCCGCTGCTCTCGCTTCGCCGTTCGCATCGCGAAACCTGCCGCCGTTCTCGGCGAGATATCTCTGGAGGAGTCCGGAATAAAATTCGTCCACGCAAATCACCGTGACTCGTCGCAGCTTACGACGCAACACCGCGCCCGCGCGCAGGAAGGGGGAACGCAAAAATATTCCGACTACATTGCTAAACTCTTTATAGCGGGCTCCGAGTGAGGAAAGGAAAAAAAGTCGGCGGAGCGGAAGAGAGACGGATAGGCGGATAGATAGATAGAGCGATAGGGCAGACGGTTTATTATGTTCCGGATGGGAACCCACGAGAACAATATAGCCGGCGGAGAAATACATGCGTAAGTGCTACAAAATGACGGGGCCGGAAAATTCGAAAATAACGAAAATGCAAATACGCGTGGAAAAGACGCCGACGATCCAATTTCGCGACGATGCAATTAAGATGCAGGGAACAAATGAACGCAAGTAACAACCGCGTGCAGGAAGAACTGAGAGAGAGAGAGAGAGAGAGAGAGAGAGAAAGAGAGGAAGGGAGAGAAAACGGAAGAAGAGGAGAGGAGAAGGGACGAATTTTATTATTAAGGGGCGAAGGAGGAAGGGAAGAGAATGCTGTACAAAGAGAGATAGAGGGAAGATTATTCAGCGGGCAGGAGAAAAGGGGGAGTACGGGATAGGCGACAACATGAAGGTACGCAGAAGACGAGGAGGAGGGAGGAGACTGTGGAGCAGGCAAAAATGCGCGGACAGATAAACCATATGCGCGCGCGCATTTTAAGCGTCGTCAATCAATTAAAGCTTTAATAAAAGGACTCTGTAACCAGATTTCGCTTACGAGATAATAATGTGCATTACTGCAGCTCTCGGATGCGTGAGACGGCTCGCACGCACGCACGCACGCATGCACACATATACGCTTATACGCACATAGCCAGATACGGACGCATGACGCACGCAGGCGGCTGCTCCGCGACCGTTCGCTCGCTTTCCCGTGTGTACACACAGGGTGTCCTGGCCGGAAGCGCGCGCGCGCGCGTGCGCACGCGGCCTCGCACCGCGGCGTAACGTTATTTTCTGATTTCCCATTCATGGGCTGCCGTTTAGTTTCGATTTGCCGCTTCGTTACGACGCCCGGAGATTTACACGGTCAGATAGGATTGTTGCATGCCGCCACCTTCCCTCCTCCTGCTCCTCCTTCCTCACCCCCCTCCCTCTTTGCTCCTTCTCCTCCTCCTGCTCCTGCTTGTACCCGCGTTTTATATAACCATCTTTCGTCACCGCGCGTGATCTCCCCCGGATATCTCGCTCCGTGATAATCTTTTCCCTTCTGCCTTTTTTCCCCCCGTTTCTCTCCGTTTCTTCTCCCTCTCTGTGTGTGTCTCCCTCTTTCTCTCTCTCTCTCTCTCTTTCTCCCTCTCTCTTGTTCTTCCCTTTTGCCGTTCGTTCGCCAGTCTTTCCTGGAAGATAATGCTCGGCCGCGCACTTTGCATTTCAAATACAAGAGAGAGAGAGAGAGAGAGAGAGAGAGAGAGAGAGAGAGAGAGAGAGAGAGAGAGAGAGAGAGAGCTGGACGAGCCGGGGATCGATCGCGAATCGCGAGCGGACCGGCTAACAACGCTAAAAGGGAATAATTTCGACGGCGATGCCGGGCGATTAGGCCAGCGACCGTAGATGCTGAGGGACATCAGCGCGCACGCAGGATACGCGGTGGATCGCGCGCGGCGTTTCGCTGTTCCTCCTCGTCGTTGTCGTCGTCATAGTAGTCATTGTGTTCGTGGAGGAAGCAGAGTCGCACGACTTTACAATTAAGTTTACGAGATAACGACGGACGTTACCTGATTTTTCCTCTTGCCTCTTCTCCTCTCCTCCTCCTGGCAAAAATGTAGCAAATACCACGTAAGAAGATGGAGAATGAAGGAGGGTGAGAGAAGGAGAAGAGAATGGCAAGAGGAAAGGCAGATGAGAACGTAAATGATTATTATTATAATAAAATTATTGTAATGAAACTCGTTCTCGTCGGGTATTTAATTTTTAACGTCTTGGCGGCCGAGGCTCTCCGGCATGGAGAAGAATTTTCCAGATCCAGTCTTGATATAATTTAAAGTACGAAGCGCGCTCGCTAATTTAAAATAACGAGCCGCGGAAATCTGCGACTCCGCCGCGTTCGTCTCCCGACGTTCCGTGGCGCGTTCGCGTATTTTTCTTTTCCCTTTTTTCTCTCCTTTTTGTTTTCGCAAGGACGAATCCTTGGCCACGTGATTCCCGTCGAAGCGAGCACCGGAAACCGCGGCCACCATCTGCCGCGGGTATATATAAGCGAGTTTTAACGCGGATCTTCGATAAGGGGGAAAAAATTTTATCGTGTCTACGCGATCGCCTGGCGAACACGGACGGAGGGCGGAAGGCGGGGGGGGGTAAGTCGGAGGGACGGAAGAGCGCGGGAAGATGACGGGTCACGCGTACGGGCCGCTCTTCAAAAGAGAGCAGGAATTTCCAGTGAAAATGTTGCGCGCGCGCGCAGGACGAAATTTGCGGAGGAGCGACAAGCTGATTTTCAGACAAAACAGGAACGACCGTCAAGAAATATTTTTTATGTCAGCTCTCGGCGACATTTTTACAGCGACAAGATGAATGGACGTTCCTTCGCGCGGACGGTAGGGGCGGAACGGAGTGGGAGACGGGGAAGGACGGGGAAGCCGCTGTTGCTGTATTATCACAATTTCATTCCTCTCATTGTTCTCCCTCAATTATCGGGATCGTATTGTTTCGTCGTCTAATATTTAACGCGAACACACGGTGAGAGAGTTAAAGCGCGATTCAAGCCGCGCCGCGCCGCCGGTTTGCACGTCGAATCTCACCTGCCTCGCCGTAACTTGGATCCTTCTCGCGCGTTAAACTCGCACAAATGCGCGAACGTACGCGCGAGGCAAACTGTGCCGCGCCTCACACTCGGACATTCGCATTCTGCCCGCATGTACGGAAAGATCCGATGTCGCGTGTGTTGATTATCGGCGGCTGATTCGGCATCAGCGAGATCAAAAGGGGCTCCACTCGAGTCTCACCCTCTTCTCTTCCTCCCTTTATCTCTCGACGTTTTTCCTTTCTGCCAAGGAGCAATCCTTCGCAAATAACACTATCGATTCTCACCTTTTCAGGCGCAAACTGTACACGTTTGTCGGCGGCGAGAGGAAACGGGGCAGACCGGAGAAACGACCGGGGGTGGGAAAGGTGGAGGAAAAGAACGGTGAGGGGGAGAGAGAGAGAGAGAGAGAGAGAGAGAGAGAGAGACAGAGAGAGAGAGGGAGGGAGGAGAGAGGGAAAAGCAGAGAAAAATGGAGAAAAAGGTCGAGAGCGTGGTACGCCGTGCCCAACGAGTAATAAGTTAGTAATAATATTTTCACAATATCTCTCCTGGATTGGATGTTATTTCATTATATTTTATTGCCTCTTACTATTACTCTTGCCGGTGCGGAAACCTCCCTCTGCCTCTCAGGTTCCCTCCTCCCTCGCCCCTTGGCCACCCATCCACCGCCGCCGCCGTTGCCGCTCCCCTAACCCCTTCGACCCCTGCCACCATCGTGCGCTCTGTTCTGTTTTATTCTCTCTCTCTCTCTCTCTCTCTCTCTCTCTCTCACTCTCGCTCCTTTACTCCGCACCGAGAGAATTCACTCGCGGAACTCATTATTGAGGGGTTTATTCTGCTGTAACCGTTGCTGCCCGCCGCCTGTCTGTCTCTGCTCGATTCTTCCGCTTGTTCCGCGCCGCGCTCTGATCTCCCTTTCTTTCTCCCTTCCTTCCGTCATTCTTACCTTCTCCTTTTCTGTTCCTCACAGTCAGCTGGATATGTCACTTTCGCGAGTCGCATGCGGACCGTTGGGGACGTACGCTCGAGGTGATCGCCTAAATCGTCAGTCGTTCGTCTGTTTCTTCGCGCGCGTAAAATAAGAAAAAAAAAGAGAGGAGAGGGAAATAGAAATGCACAGGAGAAAGGGAGACGGAGGTCATACGTAGCGTTCCCTTCTCTCCTCTCTCGGACTACCTTACCGTAAAATGCGCGCGTTAAAGCGGAGTGCTTGATCAGTTTTATCGTAGTCTATAGAGAGAAAAGAAATCGGAAAAAATACGCGCCCTCGATGGTCACACCGCGAAGGACACAGTCGGCGGTTGCGTCGCGCGTGGGCGCCGCGAAGACACGAGCGGCGAAGCGCGAGATCGCTCTTCGTCGCCGGATGCAAAAAGTCGGACGGTATAAAAGCCGGCCGGCCGATAAGTCACCCTCTTACTTCGCCTCCCGCGCGAGCAATCTTCACCGCCGGGACGACGACGTATTTCTGCGGATTAAACGTGTCCGAGGGGTCGCAAAGGGTAGCTTTGTGTCCGCAGACAGCAGCAACTTGCGATCCTCTTCCTTTTAGCTCTTCTCGCTCTGCGCGCGTCTGGCTGCTGATGTGAGTCTTGCGCCAAGAACGAGATAGACTTTTTTATTTAACGAGCGATCGATCGAGAGAGTCTTGTCGCGGAAATTTATGCGACTAGCGCGTCTCTACCCCCGCGTCGTTAATTAGACGCGTTCCTCTTGGAGAACGCAAGCGCGTGTCTTCTCCAGCGAGAGGAGGCGAGATAAAAATGGAAACAAAGATGTTGGCGATAAAAACGTCGCGAGAGTGCGAGCGACGGTGACGGGACAATTATGAAATCGGGTTAAGAAGACTATTTTGAAATTCTCCCGAAGATACGCTCATTCTTTCGCTGGGCTTCGGGCTAATCCGATCCGCGGCAGCCGTCCGTCGTCGCTCACTTTTCTCAATTCTGTGTTCTCTATTTTTTCACCCTCTCTTTCTCTCTCTCTCTCTCTCTCCCCTTCGTGACAGGCCGGAGGACCGCGGGGAGGAAGCGCCGACACGCAGATGGACTTCGACGAGAGCAATGCACCTCGCATGGAAAAAGCGCAGCCTCTACCGCGAGCGGTATCGACAGCGTACGAAGACATGTAACGTACAGGTGAGTTGTACCACCGGGCATTACACGGCCGGGCGCACGTTGCAATTTCATGCGGAAAGTTTCGCCTTGATTCCACCTACGTAACGAGCGCGAGCGCGAGCGCGAGCGCGGCCGCGTACCCCCTCATCGCCGCTTCGATTTTCTCCTCCGCTTAAGGAAGCTCCGTTTTGAAAGCGAGAAACGACTCGCGTTACACGGGCGAACAATGCGGACGGAGGGAGCGAAAAAAAGGAAAGAAAATAAAACGAGCGCGCTCGATATGTTGTACAGGGTGTCCCGGTTTACATCATGCCGAGTTCTCTCCACCTCCTCCTCCTCCTCCTCCTCCTCCTCCTCCTCCTCCTCTCCTCCTCCTCCTCCTCCTCTCCTCCTCCTCCTCCTCCTCCTCCTCCTCCTCCTCCTCCTCCTCCTCCTCCTCCTCTCCTCCTCCTCCTCCTCCTCCTCCTCCTACCACCGAGGAGGAGGAAGAGGAGCGCGTGTTCCGAATTTCGAGTCAATTTCTTGTCTCTTCTCTCCTCGCCCCCTTCCGCCTGTCGCGTCGCCGCGATTTTCGACGTACGTCCTCGCGAATATATTGTTAATTCAGGCTTACGTTTCTCTCGCGATGTCCGCTCGAAAACCTCGGCAACGCGACTCTCGGCGAGCGTGCGCGCTGTCCTCCTTGTGAGAGAGTGAACCATCGCTCCCACCTCGCCGGCTTCCTTTCCTCCCTTATCACGGAGATAAGTCGCCGTCACCCGCTCATCCGCAGCCGGCGCGGCGCCGGCGCCAAAATTCGGCCGCGCCGGCCTGCGATTCGAGGTAGACCGGCGAGGCCTGCCCGACGGACACCCTGTAGTATAAATACCGACGCGAGAGTCGCGCATATTTGCGCGATATATTGCTCGTCGCGGCAGTCATGTGCACAAACTCGGCGACAGAAATAGCGAGTGTTGTCACCGAGAAATTGCGGCGGTCGATCATAAAAGTATTACATCAGCGGTCTGTAATGCCGCTCGCTCGCTCGCTCACTCGCTCGTTCAGGCGCGCGCGCACCGGCGCGACGCTCGCGCGCGCGTATATTATATGCGTTATTGCCGCAACGAGGCGCAGTGACACAATGTCGATTTGTCGCGACGATGCGATCAAACGCGCGCGGCGCACGTCGCTCGCGAACGTAATCGCCTAAATAACCATCATCGACGACCGTTTCTCTCTGTCTTTCCCTCTCTCTCTCTCTCTCTCTCTCTCTCTCTCTCTCTCTCTCTCTCTCTCTCTCTCTCTTTCTCTCTCTCCCCCTCCCTCCCTCTCCTTTCTCTCTCCCGCGCTCGTGCTCTCCTTGCCCCCTCCTGTCGCTTCTCTGCCTGCGAAGACGCGTCGAATCGGTCCAGGAGAGAAAACGCAACGACGCGTCGCGCGATCGGCGCGATTGCGTGTGCCGTATCGAAGCGCGGCCGAGTCTTCCACCTCGATTCCGCCGAGGTGCGTCTGTCGTAATCGAGGTCGGGAGTAATAACCGTACCGAGGCCCCGGGAACTCAAGTCAGTGACGCGGTTTATGTAACCCCGTTCACGTCGTTTTCGCGAAGACGCGCTCCCAGAGAGCGGTCCGATCTTCGCTGCTCGATACGTCGTGTCGTTGCCCGTAATCCTTTGTGTGCGTTTCAGAACGCGCTTCAGAACGCGATCGCTTTGCCCCACGGAAGATTCCTCCGATTAGCGAGCGAACTCTCCCATTGGACTAGCGGTAGACGGGCACATTCCGAAACTCGCGCGATGAATTACAGGCGACCTCTCTCTCTCTTTCTCTCTCTCTCTCTCTCTCTCTCTCTCTCTCTCTCTCTCTCTCTCTACCGCACGTTTTTCAGTTTCCTCTTCCGCTCCGCACGTGTGTGCTCCTGAAAGCCGTCCGCATCGGCTGATTTTCGCGAAAAGTCCATTCTTATCGTACACGACGATAAAGGGTGTCACAGTGATGAGATCCCGCGACGAAGACTGCCACTTCGGCCGTTGCTCGGAGCTCGGCCGGCCGACGAAACCGCTCGGCGACGAGGAGGCCGAAACGTCTCGGCGGGAAGTTGGCGCGGCGAGACGGTGCATATCTCTGCGACGCTGGGCACTCGGCGATTCACCGCAGTGTCTCCGGCATTTACAATTAACGACGCGGAAATAGATGCTCAGTGTGTAATAGAACCCTCGCGGCCACCGGCGGAGCGCAGAAGCGGCAGCGCTTCATAAGGACTGGAAACATCGGGCTTGCTCGCGCGCGAGCGCGACGAACTCGCGGTTACACGCGCGTAAACGGGCGCAGGACGGATGGGAGGGGGGAGGGGAGAGGGCCGTGTATTAATATAAGCTTGGCGTGACTAATACAACAATTTATCCAGCCGCGGGCATTTAAATAGTTATGACCCAGGTCGCCGGCAACGAGGCGACGAGCGGCGATTTCGTCACGCGCTAACTCGCGCGAATTGAATTCGCCTCGGCGCTTTCGTGAATTAACTCTCTTGTCGCCCACGCGCCCCTCGCCGATCGCCGATCTCTCCTTTTCTCCTTCGCTCTCTTCTCTCCCTTCCTCACGTTCCTCTTCTCTTTTCCCCACGTGCCCGAATACGTTTCTCGTTTTTTTTTTTTTTTCTCCAACCGCGCGCGATCGACAAGTCGTCGCAACGTCGGGAGAAACGGGCTGTTGACGGCGCGCAAGTTGCCTCTGTTCACGCTTTCAGCACGATAATTATGATTATACGGTGGCAAGTTAAATAAGACCGGAGCGCAAACGGCGTTGAAATTTGCGCGGGCCGTTCCTGTGAACGTTATTTAACGTTAATCGACGGGTTTAACTGATTGTGTCGCGGCTCTTTCTATAGGCGCGACTAGAACGCGGCGCGTAGAATCACTTAAACTTTACTCAACTCGCCACGTTAGCGAGAACGGGTCTATGTAAAATTTATACCTACGGTCGCGATTCGATTCGTGTGCTCTCTCTCTCTCTCTCTCTCTCTCTCTCTCTCTCTCTCTCTCGCAATTTCTACAGAAGGACCGCGGAAGACACGCGTGATTCCCGCTTGACCGCGACCTGCCGAAAAAATGGCGCAGCAAAAGTACGGGCAGCGATCGAAAATATGGCTGATATAATTTCGCGGGTTATTTTTTCAATAAGCTGCTGAAGGAAACCCGCAGCAACGATCGCGACGACTGCGCCCTTCTGTTTTGCGTGCTTCGACGCGGAGGGTGCCCGCGGGGTAGCTGGCCACCCTTCGTGGCGGGACGTTCCGGTATTCGGCCGGGCTCTCTTTTTAATTGTTATATTTATATGCGGGATGGCCGCGCCGCGCGCGCACACATGGCGATTCCTCAGCGTCGGCACGCCGGAGAACACGTTTGTTTTTCAAGCATAGCACGGACGAACAGACAGACGGACGACGTGCCCTTCTTCTCACCCTCGCTCTTCTTTCACCCCTGCGAATCGATACGCGCCGTGAAAACCTCGGACTCCTCGCGCGATTAGAGCGACCGAGGGTGGAGATGCAAGAGAGAGTGAGGGGTGATCCCCGCAAAAATATTCCACTGGCCAATTTATTACACGCTTTCGTCGCGACCGCGTCGTGCGAGAGCGTGCGAGGGAACGGTGAAAAACTGACGAGACCGCGACAGGTCTCGACGGGGAGTTTACGAACTCTTATTACTCAGTAAGAGGAAATTCACGATGCGAGGGAGATTTTGCATTGTGCAAAACAATGTGTTTTCGACTTCCATTTCGGGGTACTTTTCTCTTTTTTACTTTAATCACGCGATTCCTTTTCTCATCTTTCTGAAGTTTGCAGGAGCGAATCGGCAAAATCAACCTGCGCCTGTTGGATTATTTAGTACCTATTTTGTACTAATTTATAACAGTAATCAAAAGTTTGTATGCTTTGTCGTCTCGAGAAAAACTGTGACGTTGCTAACTTGCTCATATGAAGCTAGGTTGCTTCGTATAAAGCTGTGCATGATCACAAAAAATAATAAAAAAAAAAACAAGAATGGAATATAAAGAACAGAATTTGTACTATTTGTACTATTAAAAAAGACTCAATTTTCATTCATTTACTCCCGTGGAAATAAGCCCCTATTGGATTTAACACATAAATGTAATTTTATTTTACCAAGTTATTTATGTATATGGTAAAATTTAAATCTCTACATATACATTACATTATACGTTACATCATTTTATACTGTGTATAATATACGTTGTATTATGCGTTCCATATTGTGATATATTGTATTGTATTGTAAAATGTATTATATTGTATTATATTGTTGTAAAATATATTTTATATATCATATAATATATATATATATATATTGTATTTTATTGTACTCTAAAAGTAATTACAAATAAAAATTTTAATATGAACTAAATGTTTTCTTATTTGTGTCATCTATTATTTTACCTATTATACGTTCCTTATTCTATATCCAATCATTGAAAAAGTCTAAAATTCTCCAAATTCCCGCCAAAATTCGGAATACCTTTTCGCTTTTTATCTATATTCTCCTGATACAAAGTACGTAAATCGGGAAAATGAAAAAAATTCTAATTTCCCGCCAGAATTCGGAATACCTCTTCGCTCATTATATTCTCCTAATACCAAGTGCGCAAATCGAGAAATTGAGAAAAATTAAGTTTCCCGCCAGAATTCGGAATACCTCTTCGCTCATTATATTCTCCTAATACAAAGTGCGAAAATCCAGAAATTGAGAAAAATTAAGTTTCCGGCCAGAAATCGGAATACCTCTTTGCTCATTATATTCTCCTAACACAAAATCCGAAAATCGAGAAACTGAGAAAAATTAAATTTCCCGCCAGAATTCGGAATACCTCTTCGCTCATTATACTCTCCTGATACAAAGTGCGAAAATCGAGGAACTGAGAAAAATTAAGTTTCCCGCCAGAATTCGGAATACCTCTTCGCTCATTATATTCTCCTAATACAAAGTGCGAAAATCCAGAAATTGAGAAAAATTAAGTTTCCGGCC